TCTGAACGTCAGCTTAATCCATTTCTCATAATGCGTCATAATTCGTCATCAGCCGTGCAACAGCAACGCCGGTCGTTAAGATTTCGTAGTGTTCGAGTAAATTTGCTGTTCGGCATTTTGAGCTTGGACGGGTGGGAGATTTATCACGTCAACAACGGTAACCTTATTTGTTTGGCATCGTACCTCCGCACCTGTTCAACGATCATATTTCCGTCGACTCTCAGCGTCGTTCTTGCTGACATTCCTCGTAGCCAACAGAAGAAACTTTACGCCCGCCTTGTGAGAGATGAACAGTGACGGAAAAAGTTTACTTGAAGCATTTATGCACGACAAATTTTTATTTTTGATCGAACAGTGTTCCGCTGGAGTTCCCAGCATTCATCGGTCAAGTATTGAAACTTCCCAATAATCGTTCACTTTTATAAGTAAACGTCAGCAGTCAGATGTTATGTCAATATTAGTTCTGATAAACAAGTTTGGTCTTAACCATCTGCCGTTTCGCACTCGTCATCTTTGATAGGTACCAACTTTGATGACGGGCCATTTCGTTGGTACCTGTCGATTATGACAGCGCTCCGGGCAGACGATTAAAAGCAAGCGTGCTGATCATGATAATATGTACTCAGTAGTCAAAAAGGATGCCATTTGCTAAGAACATTTTTCCTCCTACGAAGAACAGACTGGACTGCCAATAAAAAGGTTACTCGAGGAACGAAGTCAATGCAACAGCCCTCTTGATCATTTAGATCTCTTCCTCACTGCTTTCAATAGTAACATTATAATTCATTATTTAACTGATGAAGTGCGGATTGCTGTGCAAAGAAACGTGTGAATGAAACACTGCAGTATCATTTCTGAGTCTCAAGCCATGGGTCGAGAATTTGCAGCAGTACAGTCAGGCTTTCAAGCGAAGATGATGATATGGGTAATTTTTTGATGTTACAACGGTGGACTGAAAAACGCGGCACAAATGCAATTACGAGTCTCCTCTCTTGGCATTCCCAGGGGCGTAGCTGCTTGATCATCGAGGCAAAGCAAAGCTCAGGCTCCATTTGGCAACATCCTGAAAAATAACACAGAACAGGGGTGAACACCAAGTTATACACCAGCAAGATAAAAGATTCAGAAACTTGCGCGGCGGTCCAAGACGAGATCAATGGCAGATTCGCTGCTGTCAAGAAACATCACCTGCCAGGACTTCGAATTGCTGCAGCAACAGCTCAAACAGAGTATTGTCAGTGCAGCAGTAATTATTTTCGACCTAAGCGGAAAGATAAAGTAGCCGTGGCTCTGGGCAGAAACCCCCATTCTTCGCCAAAGAAGAAACGGGCCAAAACAACAGTTCTTACAGAGTCTTGAAAAAACGAACAAGCGAGAGTATCGACATCTCGTGAAAATACTCGTTACAGGAGTTATTGCAGTGACGAGTGAACATGAGATCGAACTCGAAACGCAGAACTTGGAACAGGCGGCTTTGAAGAAGGACTGGGGGACGCTGAACATCATCGCAAATGGCGACAAACATAAACCGCTAACTTGTCTGATCCGCAGCAAGTCCGACTACTCTGTTCCAGATTCAGACAGCCGTCGGAGGAAATGGGCTGAACACTTCCAAGAGCTCTGAAACCGGCCGGATCCAGTGCATGACCTAGAAATAGAATTCGAAGATCGGCAAGAACTAGAAATTAACTGCTCCGTTCGATCAAAAGACGAAATCCGAGATGCCATACGTCTCTGCCCAAGTTCGAAATCCTGCGGACACGGCAGGATCAGTGTAGAATTTTTGAAGTGCCAGGCGAGACCATAAATCCCAGACAGGGATCCATCTGCTTTTTGACAGCATCTAGCAGAAGTTGGAAATCCCTGAGGTCTGGGAGTAGGCAGT